GCTTGAACTCAGGGTCTTGAGCTCGCCCTTAGCTTTATTGCTCAAAGCTGGTGCACCACCACTTGCTCCACACTTTGATTTCTGGCTTTTTGCTGGTTAATTGGAGATAAGAGTCTCTTAGATTTGTATGCTCAAGCTAGCTTAACCTTCAATTCTCAGAATTCAGCCTCCTAAATTGCTTACAGACTAGACAGGAAAAGGATGTATTCAGTACAGCTACACGGGAAGGGCCTTGGGACCCCAAGATTATATAAGGGAACAATTGGAGCAAAAAGCGCATGTTGAGCCATCTTGGTCGAATTGTGGTCTGGCTGATCATTATTCATATCTGGTTCTGGAAACCCCTGGTGGCTGGAAGAAGGTGGGGAAAAGTCATTATCTTTTCTGGGGGCTGGCAATCCAGTTCTCATTAGGAAATGATTGCTCCCACCTAGGGAGCCATCCGATCTTGTGGTGGTGGTCTGTAAGACTCACTGTTACTAGAATCCTGAAAAGGTGTTACTTTTACACAGGTGTTTTTAATCTCATGGGGAACAAGAGCAAGTTTAGGGCTAATCGCTTTGTGTTAATAGTGGGTTTTGTGTGTGTACCAGTATTAAATCTTGAACTAGGGCTTGGGCATTGTCTCTCAGCTTTTTCTACTCAAAGCCAGCACTCTACCATTTAAGTCACAGCTTCACTTTTGGCTTTTTGGTGGTTACTTGGAGATAAGTCTTATGGACTTTCTTGCCCAAGTTGGCTTTGAACTTCAATCTTCCAAGCTCAGCTTTCTGAGTAGCTAGGATTACAGGTGTAAGCCATCGACACCTGGCTACTTTCTATTCCTAGTTTTTTGTTTTGTTTTGTTTTGTCAGTTGTGGGGCTTGAACTCTGGGCCTGGGTGCTGTCCTTCAGCTCTTCAGCTCAAGGCTAGCGCTCTACCACTTGAGCCACAGCACAACTTCTGGTTTTCTGGTCATTTATTGGAGATAAGAGTCTCACAGATTTTCCTGCTCAGGCTAGCTTTGAATGGTGATCCTCAGATCTCAGCCTCCTGAATAGCTAGGATTACAGGTGTGAACCACCAGCACTTGGCAATACTCCTGGTTTTTATACAGACATTCTTTAAGTGACTAACATGTCTATGTGCAGAGCTGTGCAGGAATCTGACCCAGAGTTAAAGGTAATAAAGGAGACACAGAATGGAGGCAAAAATGCTAAGCTTTTACGTTTTTAGTTACTCATTAGACCTCTGCTGACCCAAGTGAAGACTCAGAGCTTTTAGCCAAAGTAATCTCTAAGCCCATTACAGATTGGCCCACAAACCATAGTTTGCTGGCCACCGATCTGGTTTAGTAGTTCGCAAACTTAAGTGATCAGCAGAATCACCCAGAAGCCTCAATCTCCTGGAAGACTTCAAAGTCCTACCCCAGTGTTTCATCATATCTTCACCTGAGAATCTGTTTCTAGCAAGTTCTCTGGGGATGACGCTGCTAGCCCATGACCATGGCTTCTAACTGACATCAGAAAGGTACCCAGCTACCTCTTGCCTTGTTTCCAAATGGTGGATTGTTTGTTTCAAGAAAAGGAAGATATGCCGGGCGCTGGTGGCTCACGCCTGTAATCCTAGCTACTCAGGAGGCTGAGATCTGAGGATCGCGGTTCAAAGCCAGCCCGGGCAGGAGAAACCGTGAGACTCC